CATGTTATTTATATATATAGATAGATATAGATTAAATCCACCCCTAGTATCACTAATTAAGACTCACGCTAAATACTGTGCATACCTTTTAATGAAATGGCAAATTAATTTCAACTTTAATTACATCTGTGCTCTTATTTAAAAATAAATGGACTTAATTAAAGAGGATCAAATTAATAAATTTTACAAAAATAACACAAATCCTCCTGCTAGCACTCGACATGCCTTTTTGCAATATTTGACTAGAACAATATTTAACTTCATGTAGTTTTCGGGGGACGCAGCAGATGCTCAATTACACAGGTCTAGAACAACAACGCACATGTGGAAGTATGTTTGAATACAGTACGAAGAAAGAAAGCTCCGTGGTGGTTGTAGGTTTTATTACTGTATAATATTATTGCAAAAATATTAAAAAAATATTAATTAAAATTATATAATATATACACACATAAATATTAATTAAAAATAATTAATTATAATGAATTTATAGGTGTCTTTGAAAATATTTTGGGTACAGTAACTCCAAAGAAACCTAAAATTTACATTATAAGCTAGTACAGATTACTTACCCTTTAACAGTTCGGTAAAAGGCTTGAGTTCATCCAAGGCTCCATAAATGTCATAAACATCATCTATCTGATTTTCTCATCACCACCTAAAGTATAAGATTATCAATTTGCCCAATATTTCCTGAAGATTATAGATTGATCTGTGAACTGACAGCGATCACTTTTGCTGCCGCAGTTCCCCATCACCGGAAGAAGGGAGCAAAGGGATCTTCAACTTTCCTCCTCTTTTTTTTAAAAAAAAAAATTAGGTTCATGGTCTTTTCCCCCCTTTTTTTTTTAAAAAAAATTGTTTTGAATTTGTAAAATGCCCGAATTGTTTTAGCCCCTCCTAGTCCAACTAAGTTTGGCCCAATATCGTAATCATAGGTTAGTTGTAGAGGTAAGCATCTTCGACTACAGGTTGGATATGGATTATATTTAGGATTTAATTTAAAAAATTTTAGGTATAGTTTTTCAAATTTAGTACTTATTTAAATATTGAAAGACTTATACTTGGTATTTAACTTAACCAATATTAAATAATTTATGATTATATATCTGTATATATGCTTTAAAAAATGAAAGGTATAATATAAGATACTATTGTTATATATGTGTTAAGGGATGAATTTGTATTACTTTAGAATTCACAATATGTGCAGTGCCGCGTCAGTAAAACCAACTTTAGACTTGTAACTATAAAAGGCCCACATAATTTATTTCCATATTAGATATATTAGATTTTATTTTTTGCGGATGGCCACAATGGAGTCAATATTGCTAGAAACAGCACTCACCCACTTTGTTGGAAATGTTACAAGCATGATCTACTTCAACATCTTTCTCATATACATAGCCAAACTTGGCTGCATTTATCTCTACAACATGGCTAGACATCTATAATGGTCATTACAATATTTGCTGCTATATCTTATTGGCTCCCAATAATGGATAAAAAGCCTATCTTGCTACATCTACATGGCTCCCGTCAAAGGATAACAAGCTGATTTTTTGTACATTAGCATAGCTCCCAACAATGGATAAAGGGCTAGACATCTATTTTACATATCTCTATCACTAATTCCCATCAATGAATAATGAGCTAATTCTATTACATCTATATAACTTCCAACAATAGACAAAGAGTCAAACTTGCTATTTTACTTAACCTTCAAAAATAGGTAAAAGGCTAAACATCTTTACACATTTTTACTACACCAACTCCCAAAAACTAGTAAAGGGTCAGATTTCTCTCTACATATTTTATTTTATTGGCTCTTAGAAATAAACAAAGAGTTAGTGTAACTCAATACGATTAGCATGAGGCCGATAACAGTTGCAGCTCTGCAATTGGTTGGGATGGCTACCCTCCAGTGATAAAAATCCATCAAGTTGTGATCAGTGGCTCCTTGATGGTTGCACGTGCAGGGTAGTTCTGGTGCCCAGTAGGCAAAAACAACTAGGACCATCCTCTAACAGTGCGAGTACGGCAAGAATGGCTATTGTTTCATCGTGATATCACACCTTATTTGTATTAGAGACCATGAATGTGGTTGATGTCCCCTTTCCATAGATAACACTCCACCCATTTTTATTAAGATAAACTATATCACCTTTATCATAACTTTTGATTTAGTCACTCTCCTTTGAAATTTGTAAACCTTGTCACTCATCTTTAGTTTAATTTCCATCCATTCATCACTTCCGTTAAGTCATGCCCGCCTTCGTCAATTCTATTATGTTTTATGCTAATGTGGCACTATTTATGTTGACATGGCACCAGAATGGCCAACTTGATTTACATACATGGCACCTACATGGAAAATAATATATTTTTTATTGTTAAAAAATCTTTAGACAGCAAAAATAAAAATTGCACGCAAACCTTAAATGGCAGAATACGTAACAGGTTGCGAGAATCTTCTATTTGGGAAACCCTATTATTTGCCTCCCACCTTTCTACAACTGTCGCTTTCATAATTTGGGAATTTGCAGTAAGGACTCTAAATCTTTTTTTTACAAGTTCTGTTAAGAGTTGGAATAAAAAAAATTTAAGATACATATTACGAGGAGAATTCGACAAAAGTGGGAAATTCAACCCCAATACAGTAAGTTTTTATAGTTTTGTTTGTCACTAGTTTATTCTTTTTTATCTTTTGTCTATACAATTCATATGATCAATTAGTGAGACTAAATGCTCCTATTTGTGTTTTGGGCCATGCATCTCTATTCTATGTGTAGGGACCTTGTGTTTAAATTTGCAACACTACTTGTGTGGGTCAGGAAAGTTTTGACAACTATTGCTATATATATCTCATGATGTTTAAATATTATATTTTATAATCTAATTCTTTGAGAATTATAAATAATTTTGTTTTCTAGTTAGTTGCATGTTTTGATATTTTTATCTTGCTTCGTATTACGATGGTTTTTTCTTCACCATATGTTTGACCTTTTTTTTTTTCCTTTTATATGTGAGAACTTTGAATATTTTACAATTGAAATGCACCATGGGGGGAATTTTAGTCTTGGGAATAGTCAATATAGAGGCGGTGGAATAAACTTTGTGGACTATTGTAGTGTTGATGAAATGTCACCCCTGGAGCTTGAGGACATCATAGGAAAACTTGGCCACAAAGATGGAGCTAATATGGTTTTTTTGTGGTTAATGCCTGGTCTGAAACTTAATAATGGTCTGAGGGTGATTGAAAAGGATGCTGATTGTATGGAAATGGTGAGTCATTTGCCTAAAAATAGAAGCATATGTTCTATTCTAAGGAGAAAAAGAATGAAGAAACAATTGGAGATTTATTGTTACAAGCAAACCTCCAGTTTTTTCAGGGTCTCAGTTGAGAGAACATGTATCAGAAAATCCTGTTTTGTTTAATGACAGTTACAGTTGTGGAAAATAGTGCTAAAGTGGGGAATGTTAGTTTCACTAACAGTGATGATGAAGATTATAATGCTAGTGAAGATTCACAGTTTGAAGAAAGTGATGACGATCTAGATTTTGAAGAAAAATCCTGTGAAGTCAATGTTGATTTAAATATAAAAAAGAGGGTTTTTAACTTGAACTGTAACAGTGTTCACTGCTTTTGATTTAGTTGTTGCAAAACAAGGAAATTTGAATGAAAATAACGGCAGTGAAGATGGAAACTCATATGTCCTTAACAGTGATTGTGATTCAGAGGATGATGGAAACTCAAAAAGCAAGTTCCCTAAATTTAATCTTGAGGTTTATATGGAAAATCCTCAATTTAGAGTTGGGATGTTGTTTACAGGTAGGGAACAATCGAAGGAAGCGATCAAGCAATACTCAAGGAAAATAAGCTTGCCATTAAATTTGAAAGAAATGACAAAGATAGGGTGAAAGCCATATGCAAGAACTGTCCATCTTGGAAGTTGTGGGCTAGTCCTGCAGACTTAAAGGATAGTAACAATACAACTTGGCAAATCAAGACATACAAGAATGAGCACAATTGCAGGGTTTCACATGAAAACAAATTTATAACAGCTAGATGGCTAGCAAGATATTATCTAGATAGATTTAAAGCAGATAGACAATGGAAATGCTCAGTCCTACAAGAAAAAGTTGAAAAAGTATTTCTGGTCAATACTAGTGAGACCACAGCATACAAAGCAAAGGTGTATGCGATTGAGATTATTGATGGGAAATATAAAGAGCAATATGCACTAATATGGGAATATATTGATCAAGTCAAGCTACAAAATCTTTTTTAACTCTAGAATGCGTTACTAATGTCGGGACTTTTCAGAGAATATACATGTGCCTAGATGCATGTAAGAATGGATGGAAAGTAGGTTGTAGGAAAATTATTTGTTTGGATGGTTGTTTCCTAAAAGGGATCTTGGGGGGCAATTGTTATCTGCAGTGGGAATTGATGCGAATGACTGTATTTATACCATTGCTGTTGCTGTTGTTGAATTAGAAAATAGAGAATCCTGGGAATGGTTCTTGGAGTTGTTCAAAGTTGATCTTGAAATTGTCAACTCACATGGTTATACATTCATGCCTGACAAACAGAAGGTATGAATATGGATGTGTGTGTATGGTTTTCTAAACCTGTTTTGTTCCCAACTTTTTGAAAGTTAAACATATTGTATAATTTTATTTATTATTATTATTATTATTTTTTTTGTATATTGCTTAGTTTTCTGCATTACTTACATTTCCCATTTGTTTATGGATAGGGATTAATGCAAGCTCTTGAGAACTGTGTGCCTAACCCAGCACATAGGTTTTGTGTTAGACACTTGTACAATAATTTTAAGACTCAACATAAAGGACAAGAACTGAAATTTGCCCTATGGAACTGTGCCAGATCATCAACAAAGAAAGACTTGCAATTGAACATTAAAGAGTTGCAAGAAAAATCAGGTGATGCACTTGACTGGTTAGTTGACAAGGATCCAAAGCATTGGTCCAAAGCATTCTTTGATACAGATTGCAAAAGTGACATGCTGGTTAACAATCTAAGTGAATCATTCCACAAATTCATTATGGATGCTAGGGATAAACCAATTTTGACTTGCATGGAAATGTTGAGGACCATGCTTATGGTGAGGATAGTAAAAAAATTGGAGGAATCTTAAAAGCGGTCTTGTACAATTTGTCCGAAAATTGAGAAAAAGATTAAAAAGCTGAAGCAAGAGGCTAGTAAATGGTGGGCTAAGAAGGCTGGTAAAGGAAAATTCCAAGTCTCTTAGCTTAATGACCAACACACAGTGAATTTGGAAAATGCAACTTGTAGTTGTAGGAAGTGGGACCTCACTGGCATTCCATGCATACATGTTATTTCAGTTTGCTACTCCATTCATCAAGATCCTATTGATTATATTCATCCAGCTTATTCAAAGGCAACTTATGAGAAGATCTATAGTATTTTATATCCCCTATTAGAGGGCCACCAGAATGGGAAAAGAGTAATAAGCCACCAATCCTCCTTCCAATACTTAGAAGGCCTCCAGGAAGACCTAATAAGGCAACGAGGAAAGCTGTTGATGAAGAGAAGCCTAACGGTGGTGGGAAAATGCATAAGGTGGGTATCCAAATGAGGTGCACAAAATGCGGGATGTTGGACACAGTAAAAGGACATGCAAAGGAGTTGTTGGAGGCAATAAGGAACTTAATCCTCATGAGCTGTACTTCATTATATGCAACAAAATGCAAATTTAGTAAGTTGAAAAGTTATTAACTCCTTATTAATACATTCCTTTGTTGATCCTTTCATTATATATAATATAATGCTTGTTTATGCAGGGATCAAGTGGCGAAAGAAGGCATCTTGCTGGGGCAAGCATAACTAAGTGGTTTAATGATGTAACCAACTTCATTTCAGAATTCTAAATTATTTTTATATCCAATAGCATAAATTTTGATGAGCTTTATTTTTTAATGGTGCATGGGTCAAATGAAACTGTCTACATTGCACCAGTCCTGTAAGGACAGGACCGAGGTGCCAAGCCTCGGACTGCTACAGTAATTCCTTTATGACCGAAGTGAGAAATGAATCCAAAGCTCCCTGCTCAAATAGCTGCATGACAATGACAATAAGCATGCCCGCACCTGATTCCTTATGACGAGTGGCACAACAAGTATGGTGGACATCCGTGCATCTGAATACCTCTCAAATTCCCGGTCTCGAAATAATCGTCTGCATAGACACGTCAGGCTCCGATTGTCCTGCTAAGTAAGCCACGTGGATACCTCAGAAAGGCCTATAAATACCCCCAGGGGCCACCTCAGAAAGGTAATTGAAACCAACCCTAAGCTCTTTTTATCTCCGCTCTAAGGGTAGCCCCGATTATTGCTGACTTAAGCATCGGAGTGTCTACCCCGAGTTCCACCTCGGAGCTTTGCAGGTCTTCCCGGAGTGCAAGCGCGGACTGAAGAAGGACTTCTGGTTTGGTGCAATTACATTGGCGCCGTCTGTGGGAATGAACTGAAAGCTTTCTAGTTGCTCTTCCATCATGGTTCACACTCGATCAATCCGAACTGGTAACTCATCTCTGCCTCTTGGGCAAGGTCAACCCTCCAACAACCTTCCACCTCTGATCCCACCTCAATTCCCACCTCAACCTACACCTCAGCTTCCACCTCAGGTCCCAATTGTGTTCCCTCCTGTTGATCATGCAGAAGGAGGAGATGAAAACCAACCTCATGCCTCAGCTCACAATTCAACTTCCACTACCAACCAAGACGTAGTGACAGCTCAGCTTGCTGCCATGCAGCAACAGTTTGGTGTTTTTCAGTTAGTACTGGCTCAACTTTTAGCCAAAAGCAATCCTGGTGACCCCCTCATTAATTTACTGAACCCTACTCAACAACCCCCAGCTCCACAACAAAATCCTCAACCGGTTCAACCTGCTCCCGCTATTAGAGAATCGCAGGGTCAATCCCATATAGCACCTGCTCAACAACCCATCCCTGATGATGTTACTCATCGCCTCGATAGCTTGGAAAAGCTAGTGGCTGAACACCGAGGTGCTCCACCACCACACCATGCTGCTGATTCTATACCTCACCCTCTGAATAGCAACATTACACTGGAACCCTATCCTGCTGGCTTCAAAATACCACAACTGGAGACTTATGATGGGACGAAGGATCCCGATGATCATTTGCATGCTTTCTACTCTTGCATGCAAGCTCAGAATGCCTCTAACGTGTTGATGTGCAAGATCTTCCCCTCTACTCTCCGAGGTAATGCCCGAACTTGGTATCACAGCTTACCTCCGAAGTCAATTAGCTCTTATACAGAAATGACATCTGCCTTTGCCACTAAGTTTTCCAATAGAAGGTTGATTAGGAAAACTACTTCTGAGCTGATGCGAGTTAAACAGAGGGATGGAGAATCTCTGAAGAACTATATGAGCAGGTTCAATGATGCAGTTTTAGAGGTTAGTTCCTTTGATCAAGCTGTGGGAATTGCAGCTGTGATTTCTGGTCTCAAGCATGACAAGTTCAAAGACAGTTTAATCAAACATGCTGCCACCACCTTTAGCGAGGTGAATGATACGTCTCTCAAATTTATAACTGCTGAGGAATACGCCCTGGCACAAAACCCACCTTCCTCTAAGAACCAGAACCCAAATTGGAGAGATGACAACCCAAGCAGGAAAAGGATGAGGATGGCGCAGAACCGAGGTTCGATGTTGACCTCCCCAACAAGAGTCAGAAAGCCGAACTCAACACCCCTGCAACAATCTGCAGGTAAACCTCCAGTTAATTGGACTCCCTTTAATCTGCCGAGATCACAGATTTTTATGCAAATTAAGAACAAAATGGACTTGAGACGTCCCGGCCCAATGCGAATTGCTGCTGCTAGTCAAGACCATACCAGATATTGTGATTTTCACCAAGATCACGGCCATACTACAGAGCAGTGTAATAGTTTAAGGTCCGAACTGGAAAGTTTAGCTCAGAAAGGAATGCTGAATGAGTATGTTCAGAGAGCTGAACAACCGAGGTTTGTCAGAGAGCAGAGGCCGCAGCGTCAAGGAGCCCGCAATCCCCCAAATAGACAAGGTGTGGGATATCGGCAAGCCCCACCCCCGTTCCTACCACCACCGAGAATCATACACATGATTATGGGAGGCCTTGAAGCAGGCGGGCTGAGCTCTAAACAGCGAAAGCTGTATGTCAGAGAGGTTAAGCATCAGAACCGAGCTTAGAAGCGGAAGATTGACGATGCTGAGTGGAAAACTCAACCCATTACTTTCACATCTGCTGATCTTGATACAATTGTTACACCCCACAATGATCCCTTGGTCACTTCTGTCATAATTAATAATTGTGAAGTACAGCGTGTCCTTGTTGATATCGGAAGTGCACCAGATATCATGTACTTCCATTGTTTCGAGAGTCTTGGGCTGGATCCAGCGTTGTTGCAGAAATATGATGGTCCTATTTATGGCTTCAACAACCAACCTGTTCCGGTGGAAGGAGTTCTTACCCTCCATGTGGCTTTTGGGAGTGGCCGAACCTATGTAACCCCCTCAGTCCGGTTCCTTGTAGTCAAAATGGCGTCCTCTTTCAACATTGTTATTGGCCGACCCACACTGATTGAAATCCGAGCTGTGGTTTCCCAGTCTCACCTCTGTATGAAGTTCCCAACTCCTATAGGAATAGCAACGCTGCGAGGAAACCAGGAGGTGGCCAGACATTGTTAAATCACCTCAGTAACACAACCAACGAAGGGCAAAGATCAGACACCCGAGGCCATTCCCCAGCGAATTCCTGATAATCAGCAAGTTATGGGTGTAGAGATCGTCAATAATCGACCGAACGATGAAACCAGAGTTGCTCCGGTCGAAGATATTGAAGAAGTGCTCATTGATGACAGAGATCCGAGCCGAAAGACGCAAATCGGAACTAGATTGAACCCGAAAGAGAAAGCTAAGCTGATAGCTTTTCTCCGAGCTAACAATGATGTATTCGCATGGACTTCGGTAGATATGCCAGGAATTCCAAAATCAGTGTCTCAACATAAGCTCAGCACCAATCCATTGAAGAAACCAGTGGCCCAGAAGCGGCGTCTCTTCGGGGGGGAGAGACTTCAGGCTATTAAAGAGGAGGTAGAGAAACTTCTACAAGCTGGTTTCGTCAGGAAAGTTGATTACTGCAAATGGGTGGCTAACCCAGTCCTGGTGAAGAAGGCAAACGGTAAATGGCGAATGTGTATCGATTACACAAATCTTAACCACGCCTGCCCTAAGGATTGCTATCCGATGCCGAGTATTGACAGATTAGTTGAAGCGGCTTCAAGCAATGAGAGGTTAAGCCCCTTGGATGCATATTCTGGGTATCACCAGGTGCCGATGGCTCCTGAAGATGAAGAGAAAACCTCGTTCTATGTTGACGATGAAATTTATTGCTATGTCATGATGCCGTTTGGCTTAAAGAACGCTGGTGCTACTTATCAGAAAATGGTGACCATCGTCTTCCGAGCTCAAATCGGCAAGAATCTGGAGGTGTATGTCGATGACATCGTGGTAAACAGCCGGAAAGCAAAAGACCATCTAGCCGATCTCGATGAAACCTTCAATAACCTCAGAAAGAACAGGATGCGGTTGAACCCAGCCAAATGTATCTTCGGAGTAGAATCAGGAAAGTTTCTAGGTTTCATGGTGTCCCGAAGAGGGATTGAGGTTAATCCAGAGAAAATCAGAGCAATTGCCGAGATGGAATCGCCAAAATCAGTAAAAGATATACAGAGGTTGACTGGAAGAGTGGCAGCCCTTCATCGATTCATATCGAAGTCAGCAAATAAGTGCCTGCCATTCTTCAAGATCATGAGGTCGGCTGCCCAGAAGGATGAATCAGGAAAACAGAAGAAATTTGAATGGAGTCAGGAGTGCCAGGCTGTATTCGACGAGCTGAAGTCTTATCTTAGCTCACCACCTCTACTGACTAAGGCTGTCGATGGAGAGATTCTTTACTTGTACCTAGGGATTTCAGATGAGGCCATTAGTTCAGTTCTGTTGAGAAAGGAAGCCAAGCAACAGAAACCAATCTATTATATCAGTAGTGTATTACATGGAGCAGAGCTGAGATATCCTATAGCGGAGAAAGCAGCACTAGCAGTTGTCACTTCGGCAAGGAAATTGAGGCCATAATTCCAGTCACACCCAATCATTGTTCTCACAGATCAACCTCTCCGACAGATTCTGCAGAAACCAGAATGTTCCGGAAGATTAATTAAGTGGGCAGTAGAACTGGGAGAGTTTGAGATAACGTTTCAGCAGAGATCGGCCATCCGAGCCCAAGCATTAGCAGATTTCATTGTCGAATGTACTCCATGTCCTTCAACCTCTAATCCAGAGCCCAACGATTGGACCTTATATGTTGATGGAGCATCTAGTAGCAAGGGTTCAGGGGCTGGCACTCTCTTGATTGGTCCAGAGGGATACCGAAGTGAACATGCCCTGAAGTTTAACTTTGATGCGACAAATAACATGGCTCAGTATGAAGCTCTACTACTTGGTTTGCAACTAGCGTTGGAGCTGAAAATCACTGCAATTCAAGTGTACAGTGATTCCCAGCTGGTGGTAAACCAAATCAACTCTATCTGTGAAGTTGTTGATCCTGTGATGGTGAAGTATGTAGCCTTGGTGGCCGAGCTGAAGTGCAAATTCCAGAAATTCTATCTGAGTAAAATCCCTCGAGTTGAGAATGAACAGGCAGATTCACTCTCCAAGTTTCCCTCTGATAGCTCTTTAAGTTCCAGATCTGTTTTTGTAGAGATCTTAGATGAACCAAGCTTCATGAAGCCTCGGGTGATGGAGATTAGCACAAACCCAAACACGCCGAGTTGGACTGATTCAATCGTCTCCTTTTTGTGAGATGGGATAGTACCTGAAGACAGGCAGGAGGCAATGAAGTTGAGAAAAAAAGCATTTCGGTATACCCTCATTGAAGGGGACCTATATAAGAGATCTTTCTCACTTCCTCTTCTACGGTGTTTAAACCCCTATGAAGCTGAATATGCACTTC